TCTTTCCCTATCGTTATGTTTAACGGTATCAGAAAAATAATTTTTTCGGTCAATTATACCTGTTCCTAAGGTACCATAATACTGTTATAGAATAGAGGTAGAGCATAGATAGCGTAGAATACTACTATTTATATATATATTAAGAACTAGAATTTCGAAATTGATAAAAACCGCTTATAGAAATAGGACAAGTTGCTTTGATTAACGGTTACAATTAAACATCTGCTGGGCCATGTTTTTTTCCCATAATGCGTTTAAATTATTTATTGTGCTTAGATTAATCACCGATACTGGCAATCCTTTGATAAAACGCGTCTTGGACATCTTATCTGAGAAGTTCTTAAACTTTCTTATTGCAAAAGAAGTTGCAAAACTTACAAGCTTCTGAATTAGCGATAATTATCAACCGTTCAGAGATATATTTTTGAATGGAGCGGGCATTTAGCATGCCTAGCGTCCCTGTTGGATATAAGACTCTGTCTGAAAAGTATTAAATTTACCGCGACACGTATACAGAAACGAAATATAACATTAAATAAAAACAAATTTGATATGCCAGTGGATAAAACACGCATTTGTGTTTTTTTAGCTACAGATCTATTACCCTACTTTTAGGATTGGCAGCTACTCAAAGATTGCTCAGTGGAAGAAACGTGTTCGTTGTAGGCGATTGCGTGCGCAGCACCCCCATATACACCTGGATACGTAACAAGATATAGGTAGAGCCTTTTTTTGCCGGTTGCTATGCAGGGCTCTATTATGGGCGTCAAGAGTTAGCTATTCCGAAATGGAGAAGCTGACGCCGAGGGCGCTTGCCTGATCTACTATTGTTTTGGAGTAAGCAATGTTACTACCGATTGAACCCTTAGTGGAACGATTTGACAGACAGCTATCTCCGCCCAGATCGCATTATGACGTAATATACGACTGTTATATGAATGACCTTAGGATATAAATCTATCATCATGGCCAGATGCTGTCATAAACAAGCTAGCGTGTTCTTCCAGCGAATATTGCTACATAGCTAGTGAGTGCAATTAGAGCGATTTGTTTAATCTGGTATCCTCCAACGTTTAGTAATGTTGGAGGTGGCACCCTCCAACATTACTAGACGTAAACCAATCGTTTCCAGATGAAGTGTCAAATACGTCGTATAATATTTTTATTATTATTTATATTATATTTTTCTATAATATACCATCTAGCCGAATATACTTCAGGCTTAGGAAGGCCCAAACAAATACCTAGTATCACTCGCTAAACAGGTCTCAGATTGCACATCGCTCAGTCTAGTGCAAATTTTCCATAGGCTTTTCCATAGAATAATAAACACATAAGTTAAACATATTTTAGCCTTCTCGAGGTTTCCCTGACTGCCGGATAAATTAATTAAGCTCGTGCTATAATATGCAGTTAACTCATATGAGTTAATTACACCCCATCGTGCCTCAACAAAAAGTTACCATATTTCCACAGCTGTTTTTTTATCATATCAGTTCGTAAACCGTTAGTATCGTGACCACTGAACCTGAGTGTACGCCAGTCGCGTTCTTAATCTCCATTACAAATCCTACGGTAGCTGGGTGCAATGTTAGTTGTCTATTACAGCATATGGTGCACAGCACATACTTCGGTGGCTGGTGCGTGCCGCAGAAGCCCAGAGGACAAGGAGGACCTCAGAGGAATAAAGATTAACATGCGAGTTGTGACTGGGTCTCTGGGCAATTCGTTCATCCCAAAATGTCGCTTCATTATAAAGAACCAAAGCGTTTTTACAATTGATTGGAACTTTGTTTACCTAGCTTTACTTATCCCATGCTTTCATCAGACAGTACGAAAAAAACGTGAGGTCACGTTAATGATAATTCTAATGCTGGCAATGAAAACAGCAGAGAGACTCAACGAAGAAGAATGCAATACGGGGTCGATGAGGCCACAGGCAGCGCGCTGTGGGTGCCCTCTACTGCGGTTGGGGGGACCTTCATTTTGAAAGTTAGCTTCATCATCAGGGATGTGCCCTTTGGGAGTCATTGGTTTGCAGCTTCATTGGTTATGGTGGTACTAACATCCCAGATGTATTTTTACGTTCGGTATTCGGTTGAGAGCTCTCAACAACGACAATGATGGAGTTTGCTAGCAGCTGGGGGAAGGGATGCACGTCAAGGCTTCTAGATATACACAGGAGCACATCAGCAGCACGTCACTTAGTGCGATCGGCGACATTAATGCGAAAACGTTTTCCTATATAGCTAGACTACCGATTTGCGTTGGCTGAAGGCTGAAGAATTATACAGAACATTGGGTTTGTATTATTGCCAACGCAGAGGAACAAGAACAACTAAGCAGCTTCGATGGTATTCGGGTCATTCGTATGTAGTACACTCAGCGACTTTGACCGTTCTAATGATTACATCACTTAGCTGCGAAAAGTCAGCGCTTTTAAGCCTATGTATATACCTGTCCAGAAGACTTGATTGTTCTAGCCACAGGCGGCATCCTAGCGTGCCAAAAAAAACATAAGATGCACCTAGAATAAATATCATATACAGTAATCCGCTTTCGGAAGAACTCGTCATGCTTTTTGTTACATATTGTTTTAAGATTTGATCTACACTAGTCAATCACGATTCCTTGCACGGGGATGTCGGTTACACAGAAAATTCTGCACAGAATTTACAGATAATTTTGCCAATGCTGATCTAACTTCATCAGTGAATTGATGACTCTGAACAATTTAAGACCGGCCAAATTGTATCTACCAGATTGCGCAGATGCTAACGTTAATGCTTACGCAGGTTCACCTGTTTGCAGCTGCCCATACGCTACTTGGAACGTGCCCTTGATGCTCATGCGTGTACAGATTATATGGAACTCGAATGTGAAATAAAAAAAATGGATTTTCCATGAGTTACGTCAATACCAGTCGTTAGACTAGAGCTCCACCAGATTTAGCAGCCCCGGGCGACGATGTCGTACTATCACGAAATGATATGTTTGACGGATTCAATTATTGTTACCTCAATAATGACACAGATCACATATTGTGTTACCTTATGACATTTGGGCAATTAACAAATGGGGCATTTTGATATTTTCGTATTAAATTCGTAGACACAGTGTGATATGGATCTAATATATGACAGATCATTGAAGCAACAAGTTTAATTGTTGGCAGTAGGAATGGTACGGCAATGTGTCTAAGACCTAATTTATAACGAGACAGGTTACGGCTGGTAGTAAAAAGTTTAGTTAACTAGCTGGCTTTTACAGCCCCTTACTATCGCAAGCATATGTATTACCTAACGGTAAAATTAGCCCGCTATGCGTATCGCATGGCCTCCTCGGCTTGAACTCGCAGGTTCGCAGCGGTTAAAGTTTATTCTCCGTAGCCGAATTTGCCCCGTCTGTGTCTCTTACCGTTCCTCCAGCTCAACGATTTAGACATTTCGTAGATGAATTAGAGTAAGCCACATGCCCCACTACCAAGAAGACCTGTACGATGGATTCATGGGAAAATCAACGCTAAACATTCCATATACATATCCAGAATACATTACGTTATTTAGTTTCATATGCTAACCCATTGCTAGACCCAACTTCGCGCACATAGCTATTGTAAAAGTGTAAATACCTTGAATATAATAGATAGAATTTGTATTTGTCGCTAAATGTGTAATTAGAGCGCTTCGTGAAGCATCTGTGAAGTATCTGGACCCTGGGTTAAGTATACATATTACTTTGCAGACTAAGGTGAGTTTCATTCAAGTTAGAAGGTGTATTCTCTTTTCAGGGGCATTACTTAGTTTCGATCACCTAAAACTCAGCTTTCTAACACAAAGGATCAAGGATCTATACGGCTATCTGTGATTTGCATCGGAAATGCGCAATCTCCAAGTGCGCTGACATGTCATATGCTTATTTAATAACAACATTGATTAAACATTAGCCAAAAAATGACTGTTCCTAAGAGCTACCGAAGATTTTTTTGGCCTTTGCCAGAAACGATTGCCCCATTGATTAATGTTGAAATTTCTACGAACGCCACTTGCATCGAACACAATCGGATTTATGCCTATTTAGTGTATATCAGTTGTTTTTATGACTCATGTAAACTCGGTTACAACGATTCAAATCGGCGTACAAACACCGTTACTGCAATCGTTTGCGGAAACAGTGCTTTGCAAGCCCGGGCCTATGAGAGTGATATACGTGCCAGCCGCGTCCAGACTGAGACACCGTCACACAGCGTAACGCCAAAAGTGAATTATGAGTAAAAATCGTATCTTAACAGATTATATATTACATACGAGCAGAAGGGTAAGGCGTTTAATCGTTAGCAGTAGGTTTTACGGTTGCGGTCGGCCGCCGGAAGTATGTCGGTGCTTGTTCTACTCTCTGTCATCGAATATATTTGTGCTGCTTTAAGGCCTAGCATGTACCGTGTGTGGATGGTGGTTAGATCAGAGTTCGTGAACGTGAGTTTTCAACTTAATGGTAGAATGAATGTACTTCCGCCTGCGCCCCTAGAAGCTGCCCTTACCCCTGTATAGCGGGGCGCACTTATGCACCCCGTTTCAGTCAGCTAGTTCGGCCGAAAACGTGCCGTCATGGTATGCGACATCATTGAAAAGAACCTGAATCAAGTGACGAAACTCTTTTTTTCTTATACCATGCCGATATCAAACAATACAGCTATTCATAATGTGTACTGAAAGGTAAAACTTGACAATTTAATACAAGTAGAACACATTTCATACGCTGCTCGCAAGCTTTCGGCTCCAAACTAGTGTAGACTAGGGCATGCGATAGAGATTTACCTTTACAAGCTAAAGGAAGACTTCAAGGAGGGATGTGCAACGATGAAAGACGTATTTCTTCAGTATTATAATGGTAGCGTCAAGTATGGGTGTTAGTTGCCACAGTTAATTTCCCACAGGATACCACTCAGCCGCATTACTGAATTAATCATCATTAATTGAAAATGTTCGATCTGATTTCAGATTTACATGACGACAACATCAATCAACCAGTTCACATCGTCACTTCTGCTTACGGTGATGTCTGCGGATCGTTATATAGCCGTTTGTCATCCGATTTCATCGCCGAGGTATCGGACGCCATTCATCGCTAAATTCGTTTGTCTCACTGCGTGGACGGTGTCTGCCCTACTCATGGTCCCCGTGTATCTTTACGCTACTGCATTCGACATACCTAAAGAAAGCACCGGTCAGTACATTTAAGTTAATTGATTCCTTCTGTGACGCTAATCTGGTTGCCCCATAAACGAACTCACGAACACATAAGATCGTCTAAGTTAGAAATTCGACGCGGGTTTCGTGGTGGAAACTAGCCGTCTGGAACAACGTTCGGCGGCCATATCGGATGTTTTGTTTAATCTATGTACGAAATGTATAGAATTGTACTGCTCGCCTAACATGTGCGTCTTAGCTAGATGAGTACGATTGACTATGCTGAAATTTTTCACTCATTGGCAATCGAGGTAGTCGTTCTGCCTATGATTGGAAACTGGGTTCTAATGAAATACCCTTGGTGAAATGATTCCTTGAGTTTATTTCTGTCGTGCGCTTAAATTTTGCTGGATGCAAGCTAAACGTAGATGTGTGAGTAGTATTAGATTAAGGATTCTCAATCAATGCATCGACAGTCGATGCAGATCCCGTCATTACTAGGAGTGGGCTTTTAAGCCCACTCCTAGTGTGACGGGCTCACTTCTAGGGTAAACTTAGCGTAGACAGAACCAGTCACGGAATTCTGCTATTACATCACTATTCTTTCCTTTGAACTACATCACTGTTTCCGTTAGGTAAGCCGGAAGCCACAGAGGTATCGTTTAACACTCCCTCGATGCAGTAATTGTCTCGTCAACTGAGGTGACATGTCTATTAAAAGAATGCGTCTAACAATAATAGTTTTACATAACGCTATTTTGTTAGTTGCGTAATTTTCTATGTAAGTGACTCTTTTCGCCGCTGATTACAACAGCCGCAACCTTGAACTGTGGGTCCAAATAGTCGATAGCGAAAACGAATGTCCTAAGGCAAAGGACAACTAAGAGCTATAACTAGGACAGCGAGGCATCAAAACTGCAGAAGCGGATCCCTACGCCGGAGTGCTTGGAAGGGCCACTAGAAAGGCCGTTTCTCGGTCAATGCACCGATGCGCGAGTGACGTCTAGTTCATTGGATAGCTTTGCTCATGGACCAAACAGGAAATCGGCCACCGCAGAAAATGACTAGAAAGGGGAACAGCGATCGCACACTACGATCCGTCTGATGGTCGACACAAATTAGGAGACCCTCCAATGGAGTTTCTTCACCCGGTCAGTCTTTTTGTGAGGCATCCCACGACACATGCACCTGTCACTATTGTTCTCTGTAAAAGTCTTCACTTCTCACCCCAGCGTGCGTTTTCTACCTCCATCAGTTATGCACGTTGGTCGGTTTCTATTAATTTTGTCACATAAGAAGAGTAAATTCCGGCAAATGCATTAAAAATATGTGTAGTCTTGTATTGTTAATGGAAACACTAGTTGTGTTAGCTATTTTTATGTACAGTCGCTTGTTTTCCGTTTTCGTGTCACGCTACAATACCGAGCGAAACAGCAGGTTGTAGCCCCTCCTGTCAGCGCAACGTGCTGCCGTGTCTCCATCCAATAGTTACAATATATCGTTTAACATACATTTAATGCGCGGCGTAAAGCAGGCCAAAAGAAAAGCAGGGGTCTTAGGTGAGAGAGGCTCTGGAAATATGGGTCGTCCGCATGTCGAGCCGATGGTTGTAGGGGAAGTCCGGCAACCGACTTCTCGTTGTGGGGGGATTTCGTCCACTATATTCATCATTGTATGGCCGAAGTTGGCAGCGGTAGCAGGCGCGTTCCGCCACGTCAGCTACTACACCATGCTCAGAAAGACGGTAGCAGAAGTTCCTGCTGCGGCGCTTGGCCAGTCTTTACTTTACCCGCTTTCTAGGTGGTGTCCTATTTTGCTCCTTTTCCCCATTGTCTATCTAAGAAGCCTGACTCCTCACGCCCCTGATTTCTTCATCAATTGTCTATCCATTTACTGAACAGCTTTCCGCATCGAGTTCGCCGTCCGCCCCAGTTCGCATGACTTAGACTACATTACTTTTTCTCCTCGGCTACCTATTTCTTCAAGTTCGTTTTCGTTGGTCGGCCACAACCCTTCGTCTTGTGTACCCAGAACGCTATCGCTCAACTCGATCGTTAGATCGCTGCCTGTTCACTACTCGATAAATAGCTGCAGTCGCTGTAATGGTCAGGTATCGTAGCCTGTTTCATCGGATCGCTTGTCTACCTATCCACATACATGGACGCACATTCACGTTTTATTAGACAACCCGTCCTGAGTCTGAAGTCTATAGTTTATATGGCTGCATCTAAATACCCGTTTAGTCACAACGGCGAACTAAGAAACAGACCAAACGTCACAGCTTAGCTGTAAGAGGAGTTATTGGGCCCTGTGCAAATATACGAAGGCTTCAAGACGTTGTGCGGGACATTAGACTTGGGGTTTGCAAGGAAAGTTACTCGCGATGGATAGACTAGCGGTTGCTCCATGCCGTCGATTGGCATGATGTCGGATCGACAATTATCCATCCATCCATCTAACTGTGATTCTCATTACTCGTGACGCACCTAGGAGTTAAGTTGACTAAAAGTCTAGCCGTTCATTTCTATGCTACGGATTTAATGGACGGATATTAAAGTTACTTAGTTCTATCCATATCTCGACAGTGGAGTGGTGGGCATCTTTGATGTTGAGAGCAGGTCTTCTGCTTCATTATGGATAACATGATTATAGAGTCCATAGGCATAGAAAGAACGTGGCCATACAGAAGCACCTATTTGAATAGCTGGGCATACAACGCTACATTGAATCTGCAACAGCTGAAACTATGCAAATGTATGTATCGCTCGGAACACTTTACATCTGTAGATACCGCAAGGCCTGATTAGTCGGCCTTAGAAGAAAAAAAAATTAGGTAAATGCGGCAACGTAACTGGGTTCGAAGAACAAGATAAACTAATTTTATTGGGGAGTTAACATGTAGAGCAATTGTTGAGACGGTCCTGCTTCTTTACTGCTAGAGATCTAATAGGCGGCATTGGAGCAGATCGTGATGTACGATCTTGTGTATGATCACGTATTGCGTGCGCAGTGAATTATGTTCTCTCTAAACAAAAGTACTCATTAATTCGGTACCGCCGAGTCGGGTCAACAGAACACGTATTCTTTAACCATGTCTCGCCGTGACCTAATGACAAATACAGGCCTTTCGGATCCAGATATGCGTACGTGGGGCAAAGCACTCAAACCATCTAAGATGAAATGAACAAGTAGGGAACGTCGGAGACCGAAGTAGCATTCATTACATATATAATCATATATTATTCAAGATAATCCTCTATTGGTTGTGCTGAGTACTAGAAGTATTTATATATTATATTAGTGTTATATTTGCCTTTTTTTTTTTGTACAGCTAATTTGATGCTGAATGGTAAGAGTTTTCTTTTGTAGCAACTAAATTAAAATCTGTTTATAAATAGCGTAAGTGTTAAGTGAATTCATGCCAGTCCATAGACCTTTGGGATCCGGCTAGAACATCGACTACAAGGTTTTTTTTTGCTGACCATCAGGTAGCTCCATGTTTTTTTCTGATTTTTTTCACGTAAACGCGGCTTCGTGATGAAGAAGACGTGACTATAAAAACGATATGCTCCGAATGTCAATTAGGAAAAAGATTTCCTCATTGGATTAATTTTTTAACAATGCAAAATGTGAAAATTATTATGAACTATTTTTTTAAATTATTTTATATTATATTATTATATATATATATATATTATATTATTAATTTTTCAATCAAGAAGACGAATAAAAGTTTTCCGTAAATGTCAATTCGTTGTCGTTGCTTACCTGCTTACCTACTTACGTACTGCAATCTACAGGGAAGTTTACATCAGTTTTACTTTGAGATAGCAGAAAAATCGCACGAGGTCTTAAAATGAATAAGTTATCGTAGCAAAGGGACAGCGAAATAAAGGCACGAGATAGTTTATGCATGAATATGAAACATTTCCCGCACAGTGATAAGATGTCTAGGACGCTGCAGTGTTTAAGTATTTGAACGAGAAAAGCATTTTACCTGAAGTAAGCTAGCGGGACCACCACCGCACCGCGATCAAATCCCTAAAACAGCGCAATCGACCAACCCAGTATCGGAATGAAATTATTCACACAATTGGGTCTGTTTATCGAAACAATGCGATACAAAAATCGAACAAAGAACGGTGATGGGTAGTAAGCAGAAGTGCAACAGTATAAAACGGTTGGTGCAGTACGGTCAAAGAACATTCGCAGTTAGTTCGGGCTCCGAATTCGGCTCAGTATGCAGAAAAACTTGCTGTTTGCGGTCTTTTTCTCATCGCTTCCTTCGGTCATAGACGCAATAGATTCTAGAATAAGAGAACACCCCTCTACTCTAACGGGCTCACGTTTCCAACCTTTCAAGCGTCACCTTCTGCCGAATCCAACCGTGGCGGAAGTAGTGCAGACGTACATGACCTACATACATCGGATAGCAATAGCAAAAGGCGACAAAGACCACGGCCCTAAAGCTGACCTCGCGGACGCTCGCTTTGTCCTACGCATTATCAGAGGCGCTTAGAAGACCAGGCGAGCCCAGAAAGAAAGCACTTGCTTTCTTCAAAGCCACGTCGAAGTGAGAAAACAAACGAGAAAAAAAGAAAGTCGACACGTGGAAAGATGCGACTATGTCAGACAAAAGAAGGCCGGGAATAATATGACACAGGAGTCAGATTAGCGTACAAGCGAGGAAGCCAGGCCTCCAAAAGTGGTTTCACAGGAAAAAAAATTGTGCTTAGGGTTCGGTGACAGTGAAGCCAACAAGAGACGCACTGAGAACGTGCCATAATAAGACTAGGGCGATAATGGGAAAGACAGTGGGTATCAAACGTATAAATAAATAGCATGATGTATATTACACTTGCTCGAATAGCGAGTTAAGAGATATACCTTCTGTCTACGAAAGTAGCTCCAATGGAACAATCTCACATTTTCTAGTTAACCCAAAGATTTCTGGGTAGTGAGATAATGTTATTGATTGATGAATTATATCTTCATTATGTAACAGAAATGTTTTAGTCATCCTCTGTAAAGTGTGCATAGGTGTGTGTCGCCGATGCTAGATACCTTAACTGCCATAATCAGCGCAGAATTTAATCTTGTTGTTTGCTACAGAAGAGAAGCCTACATTAAGAGTTAATATGATTCACCGCTAATTGGAACGATAGCGGACCTCTAGGTTGTGATGACCTCGACCTTGAGAAGTTGGGATGAGCGACGCCGGCAAAATCGGTATATCGATATACCCAATCGTCAACCGGCTGTGCAACTATATTTTTTTGTAACACATGTATATGTAGTTTCTCAAAAAAGACTCACAAAAATTCGCTAGATGGAAACAGTGACGAAAAGTAAGCTCGTCTTAGGAAATAATCTGAACATTTATTGACAGATTATGGGCTTACGACCAGTTTGCGGCTCAATGCAGCTAATTTTTGTGCGTGGCGCCATCACATATGGGTTGTGACTTTTCTCGATGACAATTTATACTCTATCTGAGTCGATTTCCAAGTAAATAACATTATTTATAAATACCCTATTAAGGTTTGTTACTTGTATGCTGTTTTTATTAGATGGCTCGGTATCGTCGCGGAAAGTTTGCAACATATACTGGATGGACACCCCTTCTTTAACGGGTCAGACGGCGTTTACCTTGTATTCGTTTTTTCTCGGATTCGCTATCCCGCTGGTTCTCATACTTGTCTTCTATTTTCTCGTAATCTTCAAACTCAGCAAGGTAAGTAAACCTTGAAGCAAATTTAAAGAAATTTTGAGATTATTACTTCTTTTGAAGTTATTGAGCATTCTCGACCCGCGTTTTTTCCTTAAATATATGCGGGATCTTCTGAAACAGAACGTACACTACCTCAGGTAGAATTTTCCTACGTATTGTCTGATCCAACCTAGTTTATTGATCACTTACGTATTTTCAGAAGCTAGGTAACCCGCTTTGATTTCTAGGTACAATAGTAATATTTGTCAATTTTTTTAAACGACAACGATATGCAAATAAGCCCTAAGGTACTGCTTCTCTCATGCACGCTTTGTTCCTGCAGCATTTCTAGGGAACAGTCGTAGAGTCATTTAAAACGAATCTAAAATATTTTCCTAAGTCGTGCTTGCGTTCATCAAATACATCACAGACGTCTGTATTGAGTACAGTATGACTGATGGCGAAAACCAGGGTAGAAGCAAAACTTTTTTTCTCTTAGCGTGGAGCTCGTTACCGTTACTGGTCTTTTCTTTAATATCTAGTCCGTCGGCTATATTTGCTTTGCGGCGAGCCTTGTTTCATTCTTGCCGTACTACCGACCAATACTCAACTGAACCATTGGCTCGAGACTGGAGCAAAAGAAAATGGAGTGTCTAAGGTGGATTTAATACTGGGGAGTCCATCGGGGAGGAAGTTAAACGGACGTCCAGAATGGTATAGCGTGTACATCAAGATGGTCTGCACGTGCTCTGTACCCTAATGTGTACACTAATGTGCATGAAGCCCACAGCAACAGTATGCTGTGGAAGTGGCAGAAATTGTGCATGGACTCCACCCCATCCGGTCTATAAAATCAAACTCTCCAGTCAACTTCAGTGGCTCGTTCGGTCAAAATCCAATGTTGGATCGTTCACCCTAGCCTCTTTTTCTATTCCCTGACGTCCGTTCTCCCACAACTAGGGGGCCAGAACACGGGTCGGCACACGCCGGTCCATCCGTACCTGATGTCACCTATCGCTTCACTGCTCAAAACTTAAACCACAAAGTGCATCTAATTGGTCATTTTAGTTTGCTTTTTAATAGCTTTTAGGTATATGTAGATATATGTGGAATATGGGTACACGCGCCTGGTTCGGGCATTGACATTCTTTGGTATAGAAACAGTACTAGGCACTGTGAAACTTATTTTCAATAAGGAAATAAAAACAAATAGGTTAGATAACATTACATATACGTTCTATACAGCTAGTCCAAGCTGTGGCTTTGACTTGTTTAAGCGGATAAAAATTAAGCGGACAATCCTGTGTTTTCAATAGTACAACGCGGGCAGGTTAATCCTATAATATCTCGGGCAAGCAATATCCCCAAACAAGTCGTCGAGAAGTAGTTGCTTTATCAGGCCGAACGCTCCCTTCAGTATTAATTGGCGGCAGCCGTCTATGGAGGCTGCACATGAACAGAAATACAATAAAAAAACAACTTATCACTCATAGACAGTAAGCGTGTTTGCCAATCCGTTCGGGGGCGGGTAGTACCTATCATGGCGAGTGCCCTTCGATATCGATGCTGAGTATTAGGAATATCAAAAAGTACATATCTCGAACGTGACTGCCTCCTGCTTTCTCGGAAGAAGTAAAAGTTCAGTAAGAAAATGTGTTGTACTTCATCATAACTTACTTTTGCCAGATTCGAGCTAAATTCTTACGCTTGCTAGAGGCGCAGATGGTCTTTTAGCGATACAATCGTATTCTGTCAGAAATACAAATGTATTTCTATCTTTTCTATAACAGTTTTAAGTAAATGTATTGCCTTTATCCACTAAAATACTTAACGTTAAATGCAGACTACTAGTTATTCTTGAATAAAAATGCATATGGCGTAAAGCTATACTAATGAAGCATATTTGAAACAAATATTATACATTGTCAGTTGAATACTTTCTGTTACACTTCGGGTCTACTCAAAAAGTGCTGCTTTACATAATATTAATGCTACTACGACATAATATTCAGCAGAGTCCATTCAATGTACACCTAACCGGATTCGGAGATCGAAATATTAATGGGGTTTGTTAGACAAAGGCCATGCGTGGGCAAATTGGATATGTCGAAGTTGGTGGGCTTGGCAGCTGGCAACTACGTGTCGGCACAACCGGAGTTCGCATTTCTCGTAAATGAATCAACGCCCCCGGCGAGAAGTTCCCGTACAGGTCTCATCCCCACTGGTGCCAATCGAAAACTCTCTAGGGAACTCGGCTATCAATACGAATAGGCGGGTATATCCGAAACCATATTCACCAGAGCCCACAATATCACTCCGCCCCAGTTCAGCCAAGTCGTGAAATCTGCATTGGCGAAACCCAATACACCGCACATCGCGGTAACAGTAACAAAGTAATGGCGCTTCATTATGATTCGTAACATACTCTATGTATATTTTATGATAATGTGATGATGCACCTTGTGGGACGGAATAACGTAATAGCGAGCCGGTTTGCGTCCACTCACTGAAACAACAAGAAAAGGTGACTTGCACAAATAGGGCATATGTTTCATCTAAGTGGCAAAATTGTTGTAACAAGTGGGGTAAGGCTTTTTGCGAAGTAGGCTTTCTTTTTTGTCGGTAGGTATGCTTGTGCAATTGTGTGTGACCCTCCAAGGTGATTCGTTTGTATTTTCGGCTAACATCAGGATGTCGTCATATGCAGTAATAACTTCGAGTTGCAGTGATATAACGTATTGATACTTGAATGTTTTTGGAAAAACAACGATCTAATAAAACAAAAATCGATCGATTTCTGTCTCTGTGTCAGCTTGGCAAATGTGTATTTGACTACTAATGTTAGAGGCGCGTTGTGGGGTGGTCCGAACGCATGTGCATAGCAGATCTTTTTCGTTTCGTAATGGCTGGGAAACAGCCGTCTGTCTGATGGAATGGCTAACAGCTACGCCACCGGAAAAATAAAGCCAATCAATCCGTGGAGGGGAACAAGTCATCGTGGAATACAACGAGGAAATACTTAAGAACTAACAAGAAATAGCTCGGTATGTTTCAAAAGCTCATGGTGCACTGAACGCTGCTTCAGTAATAGCTGGTTTGTAAAGCTGACAATGAATTAAGAATGCTGATATTTGCGCAATGTGAACATATCTCACTTCGATGTGTCAAACAAAAAACGGACGTTCTACCGTTCAACTGAAAGAAACGTCACAGAAATAGCCCCCATGGCCTGCTTCAAAGTGTATCCCTTTTTGATTGCCATAGCGAAACATCAGGACCGCAGATGACTATGTACACGTTTTATTTAGAGTATGCTTTTATATTAGTGCGTAACATTAGGTGAAATCGCTCTGTCTGGATTAGCGCATTTCACCTTCAGATTCTTGGAGGTAGCAGCCAACTTTTTTCCTTAGTATCATTTGGTATTGTCAGTCTAGTCTGGTCGTTAATACTAATGCCCTAAAAATGTTTTCTCAAAGCTAAAACTAAGGCCGAAACATAATACGACACACCTAGACATGGGTCCACGCTGGGACCAGTCTAGTCTAGCGGTGTAGCTTAAGTTAGTTAACTAATAAAAACTAACTTATAAAACGGGTCCGAAGCAAACGCATGCGGTTTAGGTTTGTGATGAGCTCAGACACCGCTAGGTGGGGAACATTTCAGTAAAGGGGCAATCCGTACAAAGATCTCCGAAATAAGTTTTGCCTTTATTTTAATGCCTGCATTTTAAATGGCATGCAAAGCGTACGGAGCAAGCAGTCAGACTCTGTTTTTTGCAGAGTGCAATTCTTATCAAGCTGTACATTCAGGTCGGAACATTTCAGTGATTCGAACCTAGACTAAGCTTGCCACCGATTGAATTGACTGTTTTTTGGCTCTTTGTGTCTTACTCAACTGGAAGATATCATCAAGGACTAGTGGCGAAAACCAGTTTGGTCGTTAGATACTTAGGCAGACTAACTTAGCTCTGTCACCGGCAAGCACGAATACCATCACTCGATTTACGCCTCTAAAGCCATAGACCTATATTTATCACTGTGTTTATATTCCTTATATATTGCCACACTTAAGCGATTCAGGTTGAGGAGGCAAAGCGTAAATTCCGTCTATTCATTTTGTCAATCCTAAGTCGTTTTTGCACCTAACAAACATAAATTCACTTTTGATTTTTAGTGTCCCGATCATTTTTCAAATATTACAGCTTAGGATACGGATCAAGCGTTCGTTAAATATATTGATAATTATTTAAGCTAACAAATACTAACGTTATATACTAGACGACCGAAAAAAAAACGGACCGATCTGCCAGTGTTTATGGATTCAACAGCATAAGCAAAAGATAAACAGTTCATCAAAGATAAATTTTGCATCAGTTTTAACACGGCGAATGCAACGCTAAAGCGACAAAACTTAATGAGTTGACAGAAGATCGATCCGTAGGAAGTGCTAGGGCCCCAGCTACCACCGCAAAGCAATCTGTAAAAAAACCTTTGTTCCTTTATCAATATAGATAAGCCCAACAAACTTCATCTACCCACCTCGTTTCGTACATTTAGCTGCCTGACCCGAATGCTGAATTAAAGTTTTCATCTAAAACTAAAAAAAAAAATAAAACTAAGCATCTTAGTTAGCTTAGTTAGGCTGATACGATCCATATTCGTATTTGGTTGTGACGTTTTTAGCACTATTTCTGTTTAGACGTTGATTTTTGATGCTCTATCTTCGTCTCCGATTTGGGGAAACACTGGCCCTAGTCTTGGGGCAATCCGTAACCATCGTTCGAATGACCTAGACAGAACTCCTTACATCACATTCTATTGGGCTCTACCGCGCCGCATATGAACGGGGCCAAGCGAAACCGAAGGCCTGTAGCTCCAAGAAGTTTTGTCGAGAGATCTATCTATGGCTATCTATGCTCGATGCTTTCGCGGTAAAACTATTCTTCCAACTTCTTCTATAGCAACGTATCTTTGGCTTGTCAGTTTTTACAAATAGAAATGGTGCTCGTTCTAACATTAACA